GCATCACATAAGAATTTTTGAAATGCCAAATTATCACTGACCATTCTATTGACTATGGAATATAGTAATGATGATGATAAAATCAATAGTTAAAAATAACAATAGAAAAATGTGATTGTGGCTTGCTTGCTATATTTAGCTCAAAATTCTGGGTAAGCTTTTGAAAGCTTTTGAATAGAGAGAAATTCTCTTAATGACAATCTCAAACATTTTAACTTCTTTCAGACACTAAGTTGGTAGCTACATGAAATGCTTTGACTCCTCTTCCTAGGCCAGTATCCTTTTAACTAGTAATTCAATACTTTTATCTTTTCAGTGTGCCTTGCATTTGTGTCCGTCCACCAAGCATTACTCCAAGATAAGCCCCCATCAGTTCTCGCTTGGACTTTGGACAATCTTCTAATGGTTTTCTTGACCACGTTTCTAAATTTAAGCTATTCTTGATTCACTTTCCCCAAATACAGTTCTTAATGTGAGCAAGTGACATAATTGCATACTGCTTTATCTGGCCCTGTGGATTCTTAGGTTCAGTTTACAACTTATTTCTTTTTATTTATAAACATGAAGATTCTACTATTAGAAAAGTGAACTAATTGCTATTCCCTTAAAGCAATATATTGGTTACCATGGTTTCTCTAATACCTTTGTGAACCTATGCTTTTAAATCACCTTTATCTGTTGTCATCAGCTGAATGATATCTGTTACTGAAACATGCCTTCAGTGCTACTCTCTACATAAAATAGTTATCAATGGTAACATTCTTATGTAATTGGGAATAACTGTAAACTTCACAATCTTGAAAATATTTTGACTTACCATATATTTATGTGCATCTCATAACAGTTTTACCTGATATGCCCTTAAGCACATAAGGGTTAACTCAATGGAAATGTGCATGCAATAAATGCATGTTATTAAATAAATTAATATTTTTAATAATTTACTGTGAAAAATCTGCAAAATATATCTAAGTCTTACAGATACCTAATTATATTTTCAAATTTATACTTTCAGGCAACTTATGTGACTATATACACTTTATTGTAAAAGTTTAACTTGCGGAGAACTTGCATATCTCTACTTAGTCATCTCCTTGAAGTTTTATTTCTTATTAAAAAACTATTTCTAAAATATACTCTCTTCTTTTTACTGTGTTCTAGTTATTTGTGAACTAAGGAAGAATTTTATTTTGTAAGACAAAGAAAAATCATAAGTAAAACCTTTATTTCTATGAAAATTGAACTTTATGATTTATGAAAAATAAAATCAATTCATATTACAGATCTGCTAAAAATGTGTTTCCTCCTAAATCATTAAGCCTAATAAATAATGTGGTACATAAAAAAAATCTTAATTCATCTTAAACTGAAAATGTGTACCATATTCAACACTTCACATAAATAAATTTCTTTTAACTCCACTTTATGTTGGGTAATAACTGATTGTCTAAAAAAAAACATTATTTTTTTCTACTTTTGCCATACATCAAATTTGAACATGCACTGCATGCATTCTTGTTTGTGGAAAGTTTTCTCTTATTTTCTTCTTTCAATTCTACACTTCAAAGATAATCTCCAACAACTATTGGCATACATAATTCTTGAAGTTACTACGCTTATAAAAAAGATATGCACACATACAATGGTATACAAATTTGAAAATATGTGTTGAATGTGTATGCAAATTTAAAACTGCATTCAGTTTTAAATTGAGAAAATAGTTTTCATGTTTAGGTACATATGAATAGTAGCTGTTTTGAATAATTACCCCCAAATAATTTATACACAGATTTTTTTCTTCTTTTATCATGAATGAAGCCATTAGAAAGAATTTGAGTAGATAAAATTATTTGACTTATATTTGCCATTAGTTATGAAAGGAAAACCAAAATTTTGCTAGCACATTCCTAAGCGTTTTGGAGTCCCTAAACTCTCACTGATCAACTTAGTAGAACTGTACTTGATATATTTATGGCCTTCTTATACACCAGGATAGAATCTATTCCAATGTGAGATTACAATGTGTGTTATATATTAACCATAGGGAATACTTGCTGTCAGTGTGATCCATTATGGTTGGAATTTATTGCTGGCTAAGTTCTATCCATGCTACTAATAGTTTCATAGGGAGCTAAAGTTGAGAGTGACAAGAGTTCCAGGTGACCTGGTTATATCTAATTTATGGGTACTTAGCAGGATTAAGTGGGGATTCAGTGCACAGTGCATTTGACCCTCTACTTTCAAAGATCATGACCTTTATGTCCGAATGATACCACTCAATATAAAATTAAAAGTTAAGATGGAATGGCTTTATAGGTTTCCCTTGCAGTGTTTAGGAGATAAATGACTTTAGAAGACAATAATTCACCTGATTGTCTTCAATATTTGTGGTCAGAGCTAATAAATGCAAGTGCCTATGATTTTTTTTAACACAATTGAAATACACAGACCCTTCCTTCAAAAGTCTATTAAAGCAAACACTTTAAAATAAGATATCCTCCATCTAAATCAAATTCTTCTCAGAGAATGTGTACGGTATAGTCTTTTAAAATGTTATTTTAGCCCCAAGCTAACAGATTTTCAATTATCAAGCTTATTTTCTAGGTTAGTCCAGTCTATTCTGTGCCCCTTTGGATTAATTGATAAACTTTTATATTGAAAACACTTGTTTGTAATAGTTTTATTTATCATTCTAATTTTTACTCTAAGGAGCTACAATGAATGAGCTAATAGATCATTTCTCAACAACCATTCAGATATGGATGGTTGTGTTTTTTGCTTAAATATCTTCCAATTTTATCATACATTATTAATGTGTTTGGACTTTATGTTCTATTAGTTCATGAAATGATGCTTTTTATAATCCATCTATCTCTGGATATTCACATTTAATGAATATGAAGTTGCCATTATTATTCCAGCATCCCATTTTTAATGTTGCTGTGTAAACTAATATTTTAGCCAAGAATAATTTCACAATTATATTTTCACATCAAAATTTGTAGTTATGTATTATATTTGGGTGGATCCTTTCTAATGCAAATAGGTAATTTAAATTTCTCTAAACTATGTCCTTTTGTAACCTCTAATTCTACTTATCAAACCTGGAGCCTTGTCTTTTGTCATTAAATATATTATAGTCTTTCTGAGATTTTGTGATATGCACAGATTTTGTACTCATGGCTTTAAGGCCTTCATTTATGCCAGTGATTAAAACTAGAATGCGTCAATTTAGAATACAAAGGTGTATGACACTAGATAATCTCCCTCCATAAGTTAATGATGTTTCATTTTTTTTTTCAGGTGCACCTATTCAGTCAAATACAAATCAGCTGAACTCTTTTTTACTTTATTGTTTACAAAAATATCTTGAAATTAACAAAACTGTTTCAACATGATTTATCCAGCATTCATCTCACAAATATAGCACATAACACTTTTAATGAACCTATCCTAGTTCCAGTGATCACTGTTATATCTTGTTTTAATCCAAATATTGAATAATGTATTTTATAATTCACCATTATTAGTTTTATTTTATAGATAACATGATTGTCACTTTTTTGGAAATTTATCTTTTTATAAATAAATATAATTTGCAACCATTATATTTTAGTATGCATGTACCACAGATCAATCCCATAGAATAATTATAATAATTTTATCGGTATTAACTAATTCTATCAGTTTTAATTTTATCCCAATTTTTAGAGATTAACAAACTAAATAAAGAATTTTGCTTCTAGATCAGACAGTTGGTAGGTTATAGAACTAAAATGAAGTTCCACAGCTTTGACTCCAGTAGTGTACACTCATCTGCCCAAAGCACAAAATACTAGCTATAGGATAGAGAGATTTAGTCATGACCAAAAGAAAACCCCAGGCATTATTCATCTTCCAGCCTGGAGAAGGCGGCCAACTAAAGAAATTTATAAAATGTTCAACATGCCAAGTGGTAGATGAGAAATGTGATAAAGGAAAACAAATAGGAAGGACATTGAAAGAAGAGAGCAATCTGGAGGCCTGGTAATTTAGATGGAGTAGTCACAATGTCATTCAGATAAAATGATATGTATATAAAGGCACAATTTTATAAGCTCAAAAGAGAATTCTAAAAATTACAAAAATGTTTTGTAGTGTTAAACACTCACCTCTGTAGAGTCAAAGAAATGTAAGTTTATGTCTCAATTCTGCAATCCATGGGAACTGTATAAATTAGTTTCACTTTGATGATATTTTTCCCCTCAAGGAATTTATCATATAAAACAGGTAGGTTAGCACATATTTATGTGTAGTGTGTTTATTGAAATATTATTTACAAAGACTACCAATGCACAACATAAAATATCTCATTTCTAAGATTTTAGACTATTCTGTAAATTTCTAATAGAGTAATGCTAATTCACATAACATAGTTTCATAATAGTATGCACAAAAATGCCATAGAATAACATTCACTGTGTGTTTATATCATGAATGTATATTTGGAGAGAAGTGTAATTTAGCAAAAAAATAATTGAATATATGAAATGAATAAATTTGAATGGATTGTGTATGGATTTTTAATATATTTTATTTTTTATCTAATATGGATATATTGTATTTTAGCAAAAATGCAAGTGAATACAATGTTATGATGTGATCTATCTTCCCCAAGGATTTCATCATTAACATATTGTTTTAATAAATTAGAAGTTCTTATCATTGTTTATTTAGCTTTTGGAGGGACAAAATTTGTTTTATACCATCAAATATCAGTATGAGTTTTGTAATTTAATTCACCAGTTCTATAATTGTGAATATGACACCTGACAAATTGAACGATGAAACAATCATGATTGCCTTCCAATGCCCTTAAAATAGTAAAAGTAGGGTAAGCTTTTACAGATTATCATTTTAAATAATCATAGAAAAATGTTATATAAAGATAAGTATTTTGACAGTAATGAGAAGCTTTGGTTACAATTTGTTTTTTAAAATATGCAATTTCTCCATTGCAGCCACCAATGAACTTACACTCTATTGTGGTGCAAGTTCAGTGCATCAACAAAAAAGTGGGTACCGTTATCTACCATGAAGTTCGAATCGTAGTGAGAGACAGGAATGACAATCCACCCACCTTCAAGCATGAAAGCTACTATGCTACAGTGAATGAGGTCAGTTTTCCTTCTCTTATTCTCTGTGAATTTATTGCTGATACATGAAACTAACTGTATTCTATAATATTTTAAAACTGTTTATAATCATAGTCTTCTCTGCTTACAACTATGACGAAAACATTTCAAGGGATACTGCTTTAGAAGGTGTAAGGTCTGAAAACTGATATAATTTTGGGACTTTATTTTACTATAGGAAAAATGCATTTATAAAAATGATCAAAATTTTGGGGATTTTGATCATCTTGGATAACTTGATGCCTCAATCTGTGTACATGCTTACTGAGCCTCAGACTGAACTATTTACTCTCATTGTAAGGTGTGGAACTAATTTTTTTTTTTTATTTCTGAAGTTGCAGCACTAATTAAAAACTGGAAGAAAAATACAGTTGATTTTATTAAAGTTATCAAACCAATTTTTAAATAAAGTTATGTCATATTCTAAAAATTAAGTATAAATCACAACTTATTTCTTGTATGAAAATGGTAATCAAATTTTAAAAAATTTGAAAAAGTAATACTTCAATTTTGTGATAACATGGTCTTTGTTTGTTGTTTTGGTTTGGTGACTTTTCCCTTTGATTGAAAATTCATGAGCCGAACACCCCTTTAATTTACTTCTTAAACAATAATTACTGATTTTTTTTTGTTATTCATTAAGTTAGAAAATATGTCTAGTTTACCTATTTACTTTAAATATACCAAAGATGAATTGTATTTTAATAGTCTATATTTTTGCAGATCATCTTCCAAGTTTTATTTTTTAAGCTTAAGAAATATATATTTACTATAGAGGAAGTGATCAATACGAATTGGATATGAAAAAGCACTGGTGATTTAACCTCTACAAACTTTCTAAAATTATTTTAAATGTATTTTATTTCTCTCAGTATTTTCCTATTAATAAACTATTGATTAATATGTTTCATTAAAATCCAAAAGACAGGTATAAGTTCATTGTCACAGATTTTTAAAAAGATGTTTGCAAAATTAAAGTACTGATTAATGTCTTTTCTTGAGCAAGGAAAAACTGGGCCTGAAACAATAGCATGAACCTGCTAAGTTATACAAATCCTTAATTTTATCATGCCTTCACTACTTACTAACAACCATCCTAAGTTGTAGCCATTTCCATGTAGCTGATTTTAAAAATAAACACTGGGGTTATAATTATGGTATTATATCATGAACTTATAATCACAATCAGTACTTTTATGATTATACTAAATGTCAATTTATTATATTCTTTGTAAACATGTTCTACAAATGTGTCCAAAATTCACGAAAAATATCAGTACATATACCAAAATGCTGAGCAAGGATTCTAAAGAAGTATATAATTCCTTTTTAGTGAGCAAGGCATAAGATTTCACAAGTATTTTTCTCTTACTGGGTAATTGGAGACTGTAATTAATTTTGGACAATTGTATCATTAAGTAATTAGTCTGGTTGAAGAACAGATTGCACAGCAATAATTATTGCTGATAATTCTTAAGCAGTGTTTGGAGGAAAGAATAGTTTCTGATAGTGATTTATTTAATAACATGTGTCCTATTCCCAAATATTTCCATTCAATATAAAAATCAGATGCAAAGTCAAGGCATATATAATCGTTTCTTGACTTTGTAAAGAAATAATCTCAGGTTAATATAGAGATATGTTTACCCCAGGTTTTAATGATCATTTCACAAAAAAGGAAAATTTTAGTCAATACTAATTTGCACTTTTTATCACCTTGTAATTTGCTGCTGTAACTTGATTTCATTTATTGGAGAAAACTGGATGGTAATTTCTAGAAGAATATTTCCTTATATTTTTCTTGATAGGTAGATGGTTTACAGTCAGAAAGGAAGGAAGGAGGGGAGAAGAAGAAAGGTTGATTCAATTTTTGAGTTATTTTATAACTACAGTATAGAGAAGCTTTGCATTTATTTTGACTTGGCTTTGAAATATTCTCACTGCAATATGTTTTGTAGTTCTTAATAGATTAATAGATTAAATCTTAATAGATTAAAATTAGCACACAATTTCATCATATTAAGTAGGATGTACTTTATCAGAGTGCTATTTTGTAACCCTTCTCAAATTCATGGCAGACTGTAATATTTGTAAAAATATTTTGAATTTCAGAAGGGAAGATGCTTAATTCAGACATTGAGTTATTTTTATTTTATGTTTATTTCTTGGAAAATGTGCCTTTATATATGTGTATATGTATGTATGTGTATGTATATATATATATAATATACATTTCACAAGTTTACATGATTTTTGATTATGTATGCTTTATTACTCTATAGTTTTTATTTTGTTTGCTTATGTTCAAATATCAAAAGAAGTATATACAATATTAAAGAAATAATAAAATGTTTTGTCTTATTATCTTTTTATTTAATCCTATGTTAATTCTTTTAAACATTGATCAGTCTTTGAAAGATTTCATTAAAATTTTGCTTAAAATATTACAGTAAGTATTTGGTCATTATTTTTCTAATCCAATAAATAGGATTAGGGGACTCATCTTAAATAAATTTAAAAATAATGACATCTTTTCTTCAGATATTTATTTTAATATGGAAAGCTGTATATGTGTAATAAAGTGACTTTTACTTATTTACTGGTGCAACAGTGGTTGAATTAGAAGTATAGAAGTGTGGGTGATTAAAATATGATTCTTGAAATTTTCATAATGAGGTCTACATTTTGCCTATGGTTTGTATAAATTCCTATGAATATTATGTTAATAAAATATTTTATAAAATATAAGTTTTAATTTAAGTTCAAAAGAATTTTTTGTTCCTTAAATGTTTTAAATAATGATAAGACAATCTTTTGAGATAAGTATTTTTAGATAAATGATAGTCCACAAGTCAAATCTGGTCTGTCACTGCCTGATGTCCCATGAAATGTCAATGTCCATAAATAAAATATTATTGCAACACAGACACACCCAGTCATCATGTATAGTCAATGTGCTACATTACCAGAGATGAGTAGTTGCAATACAATCAGTATGACCAACAAAGCTGCAGTTATTTGCAGTATGACCTCTATCTTTCTAGTTGAAATGTGAAAATATATCAAATAGTTGTCCAGAATATCTATCAGTTTTGATGCATGTATTTTAGTGGCAACTCAGAGAACTTGGGAAAAAAACACGTCAGAAGTAATTAAAAGAGAGAACCCAAGGAAATTTCAATATTCAACTTCTTGGAACTATGAAAATGATAACAATTCTGCAAGTAGCATGTTAAATATATTTTGATGCCACTGTATTATAGCAATATTTATATTGTAACCATCATCAGCACAGTTTTTTTTTTTTTTTTCCTGATGGTGTTTTGAATATCTGAAAGGGTGTTTCCTCTTTCTTAAACAACTCTTTCCAGTCCTTTCATGGTTGTAATATTTCTGATAAAAAGTCTGATAACAGTCTGATTGCTGTTCCTTATATTTTATTCTTGTGATATATTTAATAAGTTATTGCTGTTGTTTTGATTTTTTGCCTCTTCTCCTATAAGCTGCCCTTGTTGTTGGTTCACAACAGCTTTAACATTATGTGTCTTGGTGTATGTCTGTCTGGTATTTTTGTGTCTGGATCTTTTTGGGCTTTTTGGATCACTACTGCTCCTTCATTTCCCAGATTGTGATTATTCACAGTGATTGACTCTTAAATGGTTTTCCAATTTCTTTCTAATTTTCTTCTCCTTCTGGGATCCCCATGGTGTGCAACATAAATATACCTAGTTGTCTAAGAGAGCTATTACACTGTTTTCATTTTTTTTAAAATTCTTTCTTCTCTACATTATCTGTTCTTGCATTCTGTAACATTGTGTTTTGAGATTATTAATTATCTCCATTGCTTATGTTTGTCTACTATTGAGGCCTTTAGTTGTATTTTTAAAATCAATTATGGTGTTTCTTAACTCCATTATTTCTGAGTGTAGCTACATCCTATTATTATCATCTATATTTGTCGTTGTTTTAGATCATCCATTATTTCTTTAAGTTCCAACACCAATATGAGGACTGTTGCCCTGAATTCCCCTTCTGTCATGCTTCACAACCACACTCAATCAGAAATCTTTTTAGGATTTTATTCTGGCATTTTCAGCTGAGTTCTGTCTTTGGATTCTACTTTTCTGGGTGTTAGTAAGAATATATTTTCAATTATTTTTGCATATGCTGGAGTATGGTTAGGGGACTGGCACTGATAAGGTGTAGTAGGTATACAAGAATTCTGGGCAATAGGCATCAAAGTGTCACCTCCAATAGAGGCAAGGATTCGAACTTCCCATTATGGAGCTTTTATTTCTGTGTATGCATGTGTGGGCAGGGTGGGGAGGGGGTGTTGATGGCAGGGAGTGTTCTCAGCCTGGAGTGGGATTGTAATGGCAGGTGTTCTAGGCATTTCTGTCTATGCTTTGAGTAGCCTCTTCTCTAGGAAAGTTCAAGTTCTCTGACTCATCAAAACACAAATGTTCTGTATTATGAGCCTCAAAATTTTAACACCGTTTTCTCTGTGCTCATACTCATTTTCCTCACCTAAAAATAATGAATTATATTGAACATCTATTTCATAGGTTTAATGAATACACATAATGAATTTTTAAATTGAAGTGAAGAAAAACAGATTTTCAGAGAAATCTTACCTATTTATTTTTCAATTTTTTTAAAAAAATATTTATTTATTTATTTATTTATTTATGTATTTATACAAACACTGGGTACAGTAAGAAGAGCGGGAGGGTGAGAGAATTCACCAGAACCAGAGTGGGGAACAGAACAGGCAGACTGACGAAATACACTGCTGAGGGGAGCAGCGGGCAGCAGGAGAGGTCTGATACCATGTGGGTCCCTTGCTGGCAGCCAGGGATGGAACAGGTGCTGCAGAGGCTGCGGGGAGCTTTGCAGCCCAGAGCTCAACCACTGCGCCACCAAGGAAGGCCCTCATTTTTTCAAATCTTTTAAGAGACAATCTAAAATGGATGAACTTTATA